ACTGGAAATAAACATGTCCTATGTCTTAATAATTTATAATTAAAAAATTTTTTTAAACAAAACGTTTTTAAACGCCCTAAAAAGTAGAAAATAATTTACAAATAATTTATAAATATGTTGAGTGAGTATAAATACTTGTACGATTTAAAACGAAAAACGTGGGGTGCTTGCAATAGATAGTTTACAATTACCTTCACCTACTGAACTAATGTATTATTATCAATTAATTGCATGCACCCAACGTTTTTCATTTTAAATCGTACAAGTATTTATACTCTCTCAACATATTTATAAATTATTTGTAAATTATTTTCTATTTTTTAGGGCGTTTAAAAACGTTTTGTTTAAAAAAGTTTTTTATTTATAAATTATTTTATACTTTTTAGTTTTAATGTGTGTGCATGTTAAATCTATTTCAAGCATCTATATCAGATTAAGACAGAGGCATGTGGGAAATCTAAGGTTTATTTGAGTTTCTTTGCATATAATTATGTATTAGATTGCATGTATGGCCTAAACTATAAATATATCAATCTATTTAATCGCAATTTTTCTGAAATATAGTACTTCTCTGCAATGCATTCACTCGAAATATTTATTGTTTACTTTATGGAATACTAAATAAACAAAAATTGACATTATTTACAAACACCTTGATACCTGCAATCAGATTGTTTATCTTTATTTTGAAATGTTTGTTTGTATAAAGAATCTCTTGGGAGCATAACCTGTACCTCTTAACCTCTGCTCTTCGAACTGTCAAATTTAAGTATTTACAGCTGACTTAAATTAGTTGATATATTTACATCCTTTCAAAATGTAAACTTGAAAAATTTGGAAGCCCATGGGGCGTAGCCCAAGGGAAATATGAAAATTAAATGATATAATATTGCATTGTTATGCATTTGTGAGCTATGTTTCAAATTTCAAGTCTCTAGCTTATCGGGAACATCGTTTAAAATTGATATCAAAATTTGTAGGAAAGCGAGCTAATAAAAACAAGCCCATGAGGCGTAGCCCGAAAGGAAATATGAAAATTAAATGATATAATATTGCAATTACATCCATTTGTGAGCTATGTTTCAAATTTCAAGTCTCTAGCTCATCGGGAAGTATCAAAATTTGCAAGAAATCGATTTAATAAAAACAAGCCCATGGGGCGTAGCCCAAGGGAAATATGAAAATTAAATTGTATAATATTGCATTGTCTTCCATTTGTGAGATATGTTTCAAGTTTCAAGTCCCTAGCTCATCGGGAAGTTAGTATAAAATCGGTTGCAAAATTTGTAGCGGACAAGAAAGCGACCTAATAAAAACGTTTTAAAATTGAGCAAAACTATAGCATAGTCATGTGAACCTGATTGTCAAGTTAAGAACTACACTGTGCTTGGGATTTTGGTTAACTTATGCTTGGGGAGTGTTCAGCATACCTCTCTCATTATTTTGGTGTCTGAAGTTCCTTGGGTTCTGAGTTTGTCATTTAAAACTGTCAATGCACATGCTGTTTGTTATTTTAGGACTTATTGAAGATATGCACTAAAAGTGGAAAACCTTGTGAAAATCTGTGTAAACTTCATATTCCAAATGGCAAAGACTTCAAATGTAAGCAGGAGTCAGAGGAAGATGAAAATCTTGAACACCATTTTGCAGAAGTAGCTCTTGCTTCTCCCAAAGTGTCTATTTCTCTTCACCGAAATAGCAGCTGGTATAAAGTCTCGTCGATTGAAGAAATATTTGAAATTTTTTCAATGATTGAAGGCACATACATGTTAGTTGGAGGGAACACAGCTCAAGGTAATATCCATAAAGATTATCGTCAAATTTGAAAAGGACAATGAAAAAAATGAGAAAATTATTTATGTAAAAGATAAGTAAAATTTCCTGCAAAGGCTGAGCCACAGTCTTCATATTTTATACCTCAAACCTCGTCCCTGTATGTAATAATCGTTTTATTAATACATTTAATACTTGAAATTTCATAAGAGGATTAATCTTAGCTTATTAAAATATACAGGGTTGTCCGTAAATTAAAGGTCTCCATCAAGCTCATCCTGAGACATCCAAGCGAGATAGTTCAAACTGAGCCCATTGATGTATTCCTTACCTTCCTATACCTTACCGTACCTCCTACTTCTATTCATCTTCTATCTCCTTCTCCTATAGAACCATTAGTCTCGTCATGGACTCAAAAACATTTTGAAAGAAAATCGACACTCCCACTAAGTATAGATGATGTTCCCTGAATAAGATAAGATATCAATCAACCAATCAATCAATCAATCAAATCTTTATTCAGAACGTACAGATACATCGTACATGAATGCGTCATTATGTTATTTTTAAATAACATAAATATATTACATAAAGATAAAAGATTTATATAACAGCAGTTTTTAGATAAAATAAATACATTACTTAAAGTTAGATAAAATAAATACATTAGGTAAACTCAAATAAACCTTAGATTTCCCACATGCCTCTGTCTTCTGATATAGATGCTTGTAATATATTTAATATCCACACACATTAAAAACTAAAAAGTAGAAAATAAATTATAAATAAAAAACTTTTTAAAACAAAACGTTTTCAAACACACTAAAAAGTACAAAATAATTTATAAATATGTGGAGATTATAAATACTTTTAAGATTTAAAACGAAAAACGTGGGGTGCATGCAATAGGTAATTTACAATTACCTTCACCTATTGAAGTATTATTATCAATTGCATGCACCCCACGTTTTTCGTTTTAAATCTTAAAAGTATTTATAATCTCCACATATTTATATTATTTATAAATTATTTTATACTTTTTAGTGGGTTTGAAAACGTTTTGTTTTAACAAGTTTTTTATTTATAATTTATTTTCTACTTTTTAGTTTTTAATGTGTGTGGATATTAAATATATTACAAGCATCTATATCAGAAGACAGAGGCATGTGGGAAATCTAAGGTTTATTTGAGTTTATTTTCATATAATTATGTATTAGATTGAATGTATGGCCTTACCTACTATAGCTCGGCCGCTTAGAAAACGACCTGCGAGCTAATGCTAAACCAATGCTGGAGGAGGTTGTTTTCTAAGCAGCCGAACTATAACTATAAATATATCAATCTATTTAATTTATTGTTTACTTTATAGAATACTAAATAAATAACAGTTAACATTATTAACAAACACCTTTATACAGGGTTAGTAAAAAGTCTGGAGACCCCCTGTTAATTTTTTAACGGACCAAACTAGAAAAACTAAACTCGGCACACCTTTATGGCATGTTATGAAGTACTTTTTGGGCATAACCGCGACTTGGTGTACATCCCCAAAATAGGGCTTGTGACATTTTTGAATTAGCTGTAAAATAAAGGTTGCTAAATATAGTTAAGTGTATCGGTAGTGATTTGATTTAGCCACTCAGCTAATTTATATATTGCAGGTATCCTAGAGGACAAGTACCCTGCTCCCCCGGAGACGTACATTGATGTTAACGGAGTGGCAACACTGCGGAGTCACAGGTTTGATGGAGACAGTCTAGTGTTGGGAGCCAACATGACTCTGACAGACACAATGCGGCTGTTTGATGCTGTAGCCACGTTACAACCTGCACAGTTTAAGTACCTCTCCACTCTTAGAAGGCACATGGAGAAAGTGGCGCACATTCCAGTGAGAAATGTAAGCGTTTACACTTGATATTATCACTCAATCAAAGTGATATTATAAATCACTCAATATTAAGCTGTCAGAGTTTATCAGTGGTGTAGTCAGGAAGTTTCTAGTGCTACACCATTGTCTAAGAACTGACCAGACCACAGGAGGAGTTGTTAGTAGGTGTTCACAATTTCGCTGTTATTGTAGGTGTAGATTGTGATTTCTCCATTATCACAGGATACATATATTATGTATGACTTATTAGATTGCTATTTAAAATTGCTAGAACCCATGCAGTTATTGTCAAGCTATGACTCAAAACCTGGGTTTCTTAGCTTTTATAGGATTCTTGGTGAAGGCAGAGTGTGAAAGCTCTTACCTTGCGTTTCCGTTCCACGACATCACATGGGATTAACTATTTATAGGCTTTAATCCTTTCTAAAAATTTACTTCTCTTTATTAGCCAATGGAGTCATACTCATTTCATGATAAAATTTACATCAGCATACTCTGTAGGTTGTTCAATTCAACTTCTGTAAGGTCATTGTTATACTGGCTATCCATAGTCAACGTTCCTGATCATTGGGCTTTAAATAAATGACCCTGACTGATGAATCAGCTGATCTTAGTCAGTAACAAAGCTACACCGATCATCTCACATCATTCTACAGTCTACACTCATCCTTCGCTCATATTTGGGTTGAATACGCACCTAGGTAGTGTCCCCATCTCAGAATTAATTCATTGATTGGTGGATATATTACCGTGCTTTAAGATAGTTTGAGACCATGTTTGTACCAAGGAGAATCACTTTTTACAGGTTGGCACATTGGCTGGAAACCTATTTTTCAAGCACCAATATCCAAAATTTCCTTCTGATCTTTTTACAATATATGAGACAGTTGGAGCCAAGCTGATTATTGGTAAGTTAAAGGTGAAAAGTAATAATTAAGAAAGTGAGTTAAATAATTTTAGAGATAGTGATAGTAATTTATATGCTCGGTTTTTGAAATATACTTAGACACACACTGGTGATAGTTAGCTTGAGACAGAGCAATGTTCAGTTTAGATACATTAAATAAAAATTATCTATGCTCGGAGCTACACATATTATGTAAATGCAAATAAAAATCTTACGTTACTGTTATATTTAACTTTTTATAAATGGTATTGACATTTTCTAAATTATTTTTAGTGAATGATCCAAATCCTTATATTGTTATTATCTAACATCAACCTTTGGTTAAATAGTATCTATATCTATCTATCTATATATATAATACGTGAAGCCGTTTTTTGTTAACACAACTCCTCCCTTATTTATGGACCGATTTAAACGTTTAAGGTGTCAAAAGATTTGTCTTAATATGTAGTTTTGCAATAAGGTTTTAGAATTTTAAAATTCCTACTCTTTAGGGTGTGAGACCCTCTCAAAGGTCGGATTTTCTCCATAAGAAATACACAGAACAAATTTAAAAACAAAAAAAAGCTGTTTATAAAAAGAAACTTTTTATTACCCATTAGCTTTTTGGGAGTAAATATTAATGTTTGTAATATTGAGTAGGTTAAGACCAAGTTAAACAGTTAATCAGTTTTGTTGCAAGAACAGAAAATGCCTCAAGTTCAAAGAAGAAATATCCCCCCGTTTTCAGGGAGGAGGAAACAATTAATAATAAGATATCTTATGCGTATGAGGAGAGTAGAAAAAGAGAGGTCTCTAACAGGTACCCATCCAGATACACATTCACTTGGTGAGATGAATAATATTTGCCAGTTCTGCTATGCAACTTACTTTGGAAATGAAAAAATATACGAAACACATTCTGTTGTCACAATGGTAAAGTAAACTTGCCTAATGTCAGATCAAATGAATGCATGCGAGAAATGTTTACTTCTGACACTGACAGATCTCAAAACATATAGTACAAACAATAATAATGCCTTGACTATGATAAGTTCAAGTAGTAAGATTATACCAAATCTTGGCGGACCTTATGTTTTTATTGGAAACTTTTGTATTAATCGCTATACTTTAATTGAAAAAAAAAAACGCAAATGGATTGTTTACTTCTAGGTTATGTTGCCAGTTCCTTGAACAAACTTATACAACGTTTTTTGACTGAATTCACCAACACAAAACAGACATTTCAAGTCAAAAATAAGAAGTTTCAAAAACACATTTGCTCAAAGATTTAGCGGCAATATTAGAACAAGCATGAGTGAAGGAATTAGTGTCAATGATCGAGTTGATACGGTCAAGTTTATTTTTATTATGATTCAGGAGACGAAAATAATATACGCTGTTCAAAAAGAGAAAATGGAAATTGTTATCTAAATCTTATAGCTACAAGAGTTAGTAATCCAACCTATTTCGACAAATGAATCCATACTTTCAAAACTTTGGGACAGGTATAAAGAAAAACTCCACTGAACAATGTGAGAACGTTTTCATGCGGGGCATATTCTGTGACTGACAGACATCACGTTAAAATACCAACTTTCAATAGTGTTGCTACTTTAACCTATTCAAAGCAGATTATGGCTGTCCAGTTGGTAACCCAGAGTTTGTAAGTAAAAAATGGAGCACATGGAATGGTTGATATATCACCCCACTTTTCAGGATTCTCTACAGAAAAAAATTTGTTTGATTAGGGGGATGTCTCAAATCAAAGAAATAAAATGACCCAACTTAAATGACTTAATACAGTTTATCAATAAGGCAACAGTTTTCTTTATTTTTTAATGCTGGAAAAACTTTGTTGCAACATGTTAACTCGAAGTGAAGCAGATCGTTTAGCATTCATTAGAAGTTATCAGTTGAAACCGAGAGCAGAAATAATGTAGGTAGGTGAATGTAGGTGAACCTTGACGACGCAAATAGAGATATTTAAAATTAGTTTCTAACAAGTGTTTAAACAACTTTAAGATGTAACCAGAATTGGTCGAATTCAAGCATAACGTTTTCCGCGGCGTTATGTTTCATACTATGCGGCTCATTGAGCCGAACGGGTTCTCTAGTACCTAATTAATTAATTGATAACCCATCAAAAAAATATTTGGGACCAGAAAGGATCTCACTTGGAATCAAACAAAAACAAGTGACCTTCATATTTGAAGGAGAGCACTATAACTTGGCAATCCAGACAATTTTGAGAATGAGAATCAATTACTACTATTACTATCATTGATGATAGTATGGTAAATGTGTAACGCATGGGGAGATAAATTAAAATTGTAAATTAGTCCTGGCTTTTGAAGAGTTTTTGTAGTTTACAGCGTTGCCAATTTTGCACCTTTGAATCCAGTTATACCATAAGAGTACATAAATTATTGTGAGAAATTACAATTAATTAAATTAATTATTCTCATACTAAAGTTTCATTAAGCTGATTCCAGTAAAAATATTTAATATCTTTTGCCCTGAACATACTAAGTGGAAAAATCTATACCTATCATTATGGTTCTACTATCATTCAAATGGTTGAAAATAACATTGTGCCATATAAATTCCAATAACAGAAGGGACTGCTAAATTTTTAGAACGGCAAATTGCAAAATAAACTTCTATGGTTTATGGTGTGAAAGTCCATGTTTCTCTATAAAAAGATCAGGATTTAGACATACAGCAGCATTATTTTTTTAGTCTGATACCTACAGATAAGGTACCGGTAATTTGGTTTCAGATTCTGGAAGCGGTGAGATGTTAACAGTTTCATTCCCTGAGTTCCTAGCCACAGATATGTACAAGAAAATCATCACAAACATAGTATTTCCTCCTCTTGACTGCACTTATGTTGTTAGGACTTACAAGGTCATCAATATGGTTTTATTATGAGGCATGTTTTTTAAGTAAGTACCGTTTTTAAATTTCTCCGTTCCAGCGCTGCGATTGACATTTTGGACATTTGCGCTGTGTAGGGCCTATGTGCATCTATTGGCAAGCCTTTGCCAGAAATTCTGCAACAATTGGCCATGTTTACATTCGGTTTCGAGCATTCAAAATGGTGCCACAAATTATGAGACTGCTGTCGAATGTGAAGTGCGCGCTGTAATTAGATTTTTAAGTGCTACAGGTGTGATAGCCATTGAAATTCATCGACAGATTAGTAAAGTGTATGGCGAGAACATTATGAGTGGCGTGATGGTACGAAAGTGGGTAAGGGCATTTAAAGACGGCCGCACCAATGTTCATGATGAGCAACGCTGGGTGGCCATGTCATTACTGTTGAATTGGTACGTAAAGTCAATAAAAAAGTGAGAGAGAACAGATGGTTTACGATCTCATCATTATTCTATGAGTTTCCTTTACTCATAATGTTCACGCCATACCCTTCACTAATCTGTCAATGAATTTCAATAGATTTCACACCTTTAGCACTTTAAAATCGAATTACACTTGAATTGCACTTCACAGTCGGCGGCAGTCTCAGTTGGCGGCACCATTTAAAAATGTTGAAACCAGATGTAAACACGGCCAATTGTTGCCGAATTTCCGGCGCAGGCTTGCCAATATATGCACATACACAGCGCAAATGTCCAAAATATAAATCGCAGCGCTGGAACGGAGAAATTAAAAAACGGGCTTACTTAAAAAACATGCCTCGTATTTTAGAATACCTATAATTTGCACACAAAACTGTGTATTAGATTGGCAGCCTTAATAATATTGTGGACTGCAATTTATAAAGGTCTTATAACGTTTTTTAACCATTAAAAATAAAAGTGCAATTTTTACATTTTTATCACAATAATTGTCTATTAAGGAAATATAAGTATGGTTGCTATTTGAAATTGAAATCTCTTTTTTCACAATCACAGGAATGTAAAATAAACGGTATCAGTAATCTGACACATACTTTCTCCCATAAGCTTGTAAACAACCTTTATCGTGGGTAAGCAGTGGGGATAAATATAGGTTTGTAAGAAAAATCACAAAAGTTGCAATAACTTTTGAGATGTAATTGTTACAGTAATGGGGGTTACATTATTTTGTTTAGAATCATAAGGAACATAACACATTAATTTTAATCAAAACCGTGTTTTTTTTCCAAAATCAGATTTGTTGTAACTTTATGGGAAAATAACATAAAGACACAATAAATTTTGAAAAGTTTTGGGATTTGTACCATTTTGTTCGTAATCTAAAGGACTTTTAACATACTAAATTTTCATCAAAATTGTTTGGGCCATTTTTTAGAAAATCCGATTTTTTTGTTATTTTATGGTTTGTTATGGGAAAATCCCCATTAAAAATCAAAATTTACAAAAAATTAAAAAAATTCTTGGAGATACCATGGATTTAAATTTGAACTTACATATGAAATTTAATCAAAATCGCACTACAGGTGTGGTAGCTCTGTACCCATATCCACACACACAGACACACCCACACACACACACACACAAAGAAATCACTTTGAAAACCACTTTTTTGGGTTCAGGGGGACCCAAAATGGATATATCCAGTCAAAACTCAAACTCGAAATTTTTTACAAAAACAATACTTTCTCAATACTATGTATAGAGGTAGAAAGTAAAAGTAAGTATGATTATAGCTTGTATCCCAGATATCTATTAAAGTGAAATACAAATCAACTTTGATTTAATGACAGATTACCAAATATATAACAAAAGTGAATACAAATACAAATACAATTTATCAACCTAGGTTTTATTTTTGAGGTTGTTATTGCAACTCTTGTCTTAATGTTTAATTACTTTCCACAGGTATTAAGAAGAGCCCAAAATGACCATGCAATTGTCAACGCTGGATTCTGCTTTAGCTTTGACAAGGCCAACATTTTCAAAGTTCTAACTAAACCAAGAATAGTTTACGGAGGAATAGCACCAGACTTTGTAGGTGTTTAGTAATATCAATCAAACTCTTAACTATTTATTGTTGATATATGTATATATAGTGATGTCCATGTTTACAGAGGTATTACTCTTTGTGCTTTGTGTACGGTATTCTCTTTTAAGTGGGTTTGCATTGCATTCCCGATTCAGGATTCAAGATGTCGGCTCATTAACTGCAGCCATATTGTATTTCAGTCAATGTTAATTTCAATTTATCTTATAATAAATAGTCTTGAAACATAAGTTGTGTTTTATTCAAGATAGTATTAAAAAGATAACACACATAGCCCAAAGAGTAATACCTCTGTAAACATATACATCACTATATACATATATCAACATTTATGTTTTGGCACAATGCCTGATATAGTTGATAGATATCCTTTATACAAGCTCAAGACAGAACATACTTGGTGAAATTAAATTGAGTAAAAATAACTAGTTGATTAGGTACCTAAATGATGGTTTGAAATTATTTTAGAAAAAAAAACTACATACACACACATTCTGTGTCAAGTTAACATACTCCCCCCCCCCTCCCTCTCAGTGCACAAGCTGGCCAATCCGCAATGTCATTAAACAGAACAGCTTGACAATAGGTCACTTTGGCCCTGAAGCGCCTCTAGGCAGCGATGTTAGAAATTCCCCCCTCCTACCACCAATCGTTAGCGCGCTCCCCGACAAGATTACCCCAATACATGCCCTGTCAGCTGATTTTGTGGAAAAGTAATCGGCAATTGCATGCTGCATCAACAAATCTAATAATATTTTAAGCCCTTTTTACAGACCTTTTTGTTTTGCCGTTTTCATGCAAAACGCAATTCTGTTTTAGATACATGAAATGCAACGTTGTTGTATCCTATCGGAAGAGTCATAATCACGTTTTGCGGCGCGTAAAAGGCATACAAAAATGTCACCATAGAAGGGTTTTTATAAACGCTTTTCATTGTGCACTTTGAGTCAGATATACAATCACAAATACTTTGATTTACAAAACTATTTTATTTTAAAACTGAATGCATCCAAACGAAACATAAAGTATAAAAAAGTAGGTAGATCTGACTAAAATGTTCAATGAAAAGCGTTATGTATTATATAGGCTATATATGATATTCTTCTTTAAAAAATAACATAATACAATTTTGCTTGAGTTGAGTTAGTAGTTAGTTCACACTTTCCTCCGTGATTTTAACCTAGCAAATGAATCAATAACTGATCAAGCTAAATCCAGAGAGTTCAGCAGGTCTCCTTCAATATTCAAGAATGCTAGTTAACAAAGTCTTTCTTCAGAAGATCGGCTTCTTAAATAATATGTTGCCCTTGTAAGACACGAAAACGTTCTTTCTGCTGAGTATTTTGATATACACCGTGGCTGTGCTTGCAATGATCCTTAATGTTATATACATTTGGAAAAACTGATTAAAGATCTTCTTCTCTAATTTCTTTCAAAAGCCTTAACAGAGTGATTATGTTAGTTTTTTTAACTTGGAAATTTGGCTTCAAGTTCGAGATTAATATCAGAAATTATGGTTTTAGCTAGGTTTTTTTTATTTTTTAAGTCTCGCCTTGACACTTTCAATATAGGATTTAAAAGTGTACAAGCTGATCAAAAAAGCTATATTTAAACTGGAACGGGTGGCGTCGTCCTGTAATCCAGCTACTAGTAGGTTACGAATTGTGGATATTTATTATAGGCATGGACTGTGGATGCGATACTCCCTAGTGTGGATTAACGTCCGCACGAGTGAGTACTATGACTATCCATAGTACTATCCCAAAAATTAGACCAATTCATATATACCAAAGCAAAAATATGGTTCGGATGCCACTATAAACTGTAGGTCCCTTAGTTAATTAAGCTGTGTCTAAGGAATAAGTCGGCCATAGTCACTAACAAGACTACAAGATCGTGCCACTCATCCTACACTCATATCCATTCATACTTGGCTTAAAATACCTACTTTGTATGGTCGCCATTTCATTAAAAAGTATAAAGTATCTTCAACATCTGAAAACTGATGAGATCGATAACCAGCTTCTCTTAGCTTACATCAGTGAGTATACACGCTGCCGCTGCAGAGTAACAAACGATAGCAGGGGTAGGTAGGCCTACACTACACGTACTCAGCGACCGGCAGTTCACGCCCACAAGCCGCGATGTGTCTGCCAGACCAATAGGGCAGCGCGGAAAACACTGTATACTAAATTATCTACTTTTACTTTAACGTGTTCTGAAATCATTTTATACTCAAAGTATTTAAAATAGCATTTTGCAGTTCTCCAAATTAATTGCAAAACATTCACTTTTTAAGATTAAAATTATTTTTTTATTATCTTTCCTCCAAAACTTTGCTGTCCCCTAATACTTGCCATCCTAGGCATGTGCCTAGTCGCCTATTTCAGTGATAACTCCTTTGGTCTTATCCTTATCCATCCTCATAAACAACTTACCAACCATATACAATCCATGTTGATCTAATCTTTTTGCTGATGACACTTTCTAATAATGGTTGTTAGTGATATGAATCCTTCTAGATATATCTAATTCCGTAAGCCCAAAATTTTACAATGAAATTGTGAGCAAACGGGAGGTCGTAGAAAGCTGGGAGAGGTCTCATTTTAAAGGTCTGGGCATGAAATTTTGGGGAAAATTATTCATATTTCTTAATTATGCACCAAAAGGTTGTTATGGAATAAAATAATTCACATTTAAATAACATGGGAATCTAGGTCATGCCTGCTTTGTTTACTTTAAAACATGTGGTTGAACTTTATTTAAAGCATATGGTATGTAATATGTAGGCTACTGTAATATGTATACTAACCCTGAAGAGAGGTTGAAAATACCAATTGACTATATAAATTCAATTGCACCTTATCTGGAATGCCACCACACAAATTAGTTTTAAAAGTTGGTTCAATAGTGATGCTCATTATAAATATGAACCTAGGGTCTGGATTAGTTAATGGAGAACGGCTGGTTGTGTTAGGTATGTCTGAAAAAAGTGTAAAGTTAGTAAAATTACTGGAGTTGGCATAGGGAACCTATTTTTCATGCCAAAAATAAAACTAATATCCACAGATCCTACTATGCCGTTTAAGTTTACAAGGGAAATCTTCACAAAAATTTTCATTTATTTGAAAAATGTATGTCCATTTTTTTTTATCTAAGTGAATTTGTCTAGGCCTATATTCAAATAAATTTATATACACTTAATTAATAGTCATAAAGATTATTATTGGAAATTTTCCTTAGTTGTGTTATGATTAGAAAGTTTATATTATAAACACACCGCATGAAAAGTCCTTTGTAATTTAGATTTTTTACAGAGCAGACATCAAAATGAATTATGCAGGTATGTAATAACTATTAAACAAATTATAATATACAAATATGTTATACGATAATCAAGGTAGGGTAACCCATGAGACTAATAATTTGTACAAAATAATTACTAGAATATATATATTAGGGGCTATCGTCCCTACAAGCCACTAGTGAATCCTAACAATGCCATTGAAGGAATGTAGTAGGTATTTGATGAGGCATCTAGATGGATTTTTGTAAATGCATAACGGTAATCATCACTTAATATGAATTAACATTAATTAAAGAAATGATTTCCTTTATCATAGATACAAGCACTGACAGTAGCACAAAAGTAGATTTTGTGGATTTCACCCTTGACCCACCAAGTTAGCGGCTCAAATTTACAGCTTGACACATATTTTTAGGTCCATGCAAGTGCCACAGAGTCTCTATTAGAGGGAAAGAGATTGCTGAACACAAAAACACTACAACAAGCTCTGTCGTCTCTACATGAGGAGATTCAACCCACTCGCACCCTGCCTGAGGCTACTTCAGAGTATAGACAAGGGCTGGCACTGGCGTTGTTTTACAGGGTAGGTTCTAATCACAAATAGTGGTGTTGCATTTTATATAGCCTACAACATCCCTTTCAGATATAGCCACAGTCAAAATGTTTTTGTGTTAAATAAAGTAAGGTATTTTATGACTTTTTCTGTGGCATGATTGATCATTTTTTTAAATTTAAAACTAGCTACATATAACATAAGACTAAGCAATATAGTTTCTATTTTTGTTTTAGTATGTGCTGAGTTTAAACCCTCTGGCAGTCAACCCGAGGTTCAGAAGTGGTGCGGAAGACATTGCCAGACCTTTGAGTCGAGGAATACAAGAATATTATAGTACCCCTGCAGAATATCCATTGACTGAGCCTATACCCAAGATTGAATCCCTCATTCAGTGTTCAGGTAAACGCTTATTCACTGTATTCACCCATTTCTGTCTACTCCCAAGATTGAGTCTAACCGTTTGGTGTTCAGGTAAGTATCAAAATATAAATTCAAATTTATTTTTAAAAATTGAAATCTTACTACACATTGTAGTCTGCTGTAGAACAAAGAATAATATGGCGTGAAATTTTACAAGTTTGTTTAAACCTAATTATGGTTATTGTTATAGCAGAGCTACATCTAGAAGAGCTATAATAGCTAAATATTCGCTCATTTTTTATATAGCTCTCCATCTATATAGTGTAAATCCGGCTTAATTCAGAATACACATTGACACTTATCAAACCTATACCAAAGAAGTGAATCCATAAAAAAATGCAACATGGCATTTTTATTATTTTACTGATATAGTACTATATTGGTATTTAACATTGCGCAAGGGATTCATCAAGTAAAAACTTGTATATTGTGGAATACCTATTGTCTGAACATACACCCAGAATTGAATCTCAGCTTCAGATGTCAGGTAAATATACCTATGACAAGGAATAATATCCCATTAACTAATCTTTTAACCAAAGATTACACAAGCAGATCTAAAATATTTAATACTAGCTGTGTACCCGTTCTACGCACGGGGATCTTATAATATTCAGTTGAAACCTTCTTATATAACGAACAGCAGTTGGTTTGCATATTTTAAGATATGCTGGCCAAACTATTATACATAGCTTCATTTTATGTTGTTTTTTGTTGTTCCGGATCGGTATGACAATCAATAAAAGGTTAAATTACCTCTGTGTCTGCCGGTCGATCCTATAACGGTAGGCTTACTTTTATTTTTACTATCTGATCTCGTTTGCATGGCTCAATCACGTCCTGGTTGAAGTTCGTTCGCTACGCTCACTCACCTGTATGTTGGAGCTCGTTCGCTGCGCTCACTTTCCTTCAGGTTAGCTCGTTCGCTACGCTCACTTGCCTTCAGGTTAGCTCGTTCGCTACGCTCACTCGCCTCCAGGTTGCAAATTAGCTGTTGTCATAAATGTAAAAGAAATAATAGTGCTAGTGCTGCACCCTGTTGGTAATCCTTGTAACTTTAATGCTATTGAACATCACAGAACAGAACCAACTTGTTTAATTGAAACAGCTGTTAAGATTCAATAATTTCATTTCTCATAAGGTTAACATGGGCTTCCAGAAATTCCACGTCAAAAATCGACAAAAACTTGATTTTCAAGGGTTTACTGTTAAATATCTAACTGTCTCATATTCGATGAAATACGTCTAAAACCATCTCATATATGTATAGTATTTGGAAAATAAGTTTCAGGCGGGACAGTGCTATAGTTATTGAGGAGTAGTTGTAATAAAGTGCGTATTTTAGCGTTACCAAGAGAATGACAGATAGACAGACAGACAGACAGACAGACAGAAATTGAGATAAGGTTTGATTCGGTTTCTCTGACCTATGAAATGTAAAAATAACCAAAAAGTTCATTATTCTAAGCAATGTACAGACAAAACTCTAATTTTATTTATATAGATGAGTCTTTCATTCAGTGAGTAAGTATATTAGTTTCAGTCTGTTTTTATAGGAAATCATGAGGTAGCTGGAAAGCCTTTTTTATTCTGGAAGTAAAATAAATTTCCTCCTTTCCTGATATATTTCAATGTCTAGGAGAAATTGAGTACGCTAATGATCTGCGACCATACAAAGATGAGTTGTATGGTGCCTTGGTGCTGACTGACCGGTGTAGAGCTACGCTTGCTGGAGTTAATGCTGACCAAGCTTTGGTATGTGAAAGGAACTAAATGAGTACAGCAGTACAGCCATCACTACTATCATAGACAAATAGAATCAAATATAGACCGACAGCAGTGCTGCGGTTAGCATAAGTTCTGGCATCCACCACCAGGAGTGCCGTGTAGTTACGGCGCACGCACTACGTAACTACTTATTGGCACTCCTGGTGGTGGATGCCTGAACTTATGCTAACCGCAGCACTGCTGTCGGTCTATATTTAATTTTATTTGTATATGCTACTATATGTATGTATTACTTTTTTAGGGCCATGAGAATTATTGTCCTCTATTCCATGACCAAAATATTTAAATCTTGCTAATAATTTTCACAAATATCGTATAAACCAGATGTTTTGTCCACACTTAGCTCAGGTAAGCTTTTAAATTGTTAAACAAATTGTTCACCTCTGATATAGGTGTAAATCTTATGAAAATAAACTGCTAATTGAATTGATTACTTGTCCAAGCACTTAGAAAATAGGTACAGTAAGATGCCCTCTTTAGCCTATCTAGAACAGATTTGAAGCTTGAGAAGGTTTTTATTTAAGAGCCTGAAATAAACGTTGATCCTAGAACAGAGTTGCAATGGAATGTCTAGTAAGAAACTTTTTGGCTTTTCATGAACATTTATGCTCCCCCACATTAATTTTTTTAAATATTAAGCATGTGTAGTAATAATGACTTTTTATGTACAACTAAATTCACAATGCTCTCTAAATATATTCAACACATTAATTACATCTCTTTAAGGGACATGATAAAAGTTTTACTTTCAACCTAAGGAAACTAAGACAGACACAGTGCTGGGTTTCACTTATGAGAGTGTCGTAAAACAAATGTAATTACTTTGAATTTCCAAATAAAAATCTGTCAACAAAAACTTGTAAATTTAGTCGAGTTTCAGAAACATATGTATATTTAATTTTTCCTATGTTTCAGAATATTCCAGGAGTTGTTGCTTTCTTCTCAGCTAAAGATATTCCCGGGATAAACTCTTTTGTTTCTACTGACACTCCTAATATTGCACAAAAAGAACAAGTATGTATCTTTATAGAGATGAGATTATGTTTAAGATATCATACTACAATATAGTCAAACATCGATGCTAGTTCGATCCTGGATCCTGAGAAAAGTCAGCAGCTTTTTGATGGTTCGAAACTGGATCCAGCTGTTCCTGATTATAGGTACCGTAATGAAACAGCTGGTTTTAGTCAGTAACAAAGCTAAGCAGATCATCTCATCCACTCTACACTCACCCTGCATTCATATTCAGCTTAAAATATGCACCTCGTATGTTGCTTCCTTAAAGTAGTGATAAGTGATGAAGGGCTATGATATAAACAATTTTTTTATAATACTCTCTTATACTGTTATACTCTCTTAACTGTTAACTATGAACGGCTATGATATAAACAATTTTTTTATAATACTCTCTTATACTGTTACACTCTCTTAACTTAAGCATGCAGTCCTTGATCATGAGCATGATCATGAATGGTCCTGGCTGTAGAACCAGCTAATTCTAGTTGCTATAATTTCATCTATTCAACATTTATTTCCGACTTTATAAGTATAGGCACTATAAAATAATTTAATGCAATCAAATTATATTTAAGACAATCACTGTTATAAAATACTATTGTTAAAAGTTAAATAGAATGAAATGAAAAGAATACTTTACTGGAAGAAACTTTTATGATGTACCACACTATATTGGTCAAACCTATTTACAGAATAATTAATGAACAACAGAAAACCATATGTAAAACAAAACATTTGAATGGTCATAAGGAAGTCAAAGAGTACTAAATATAATAATATAATAAACATAGTCCAATCATACTAATAATATAATACCCCCGCCGCACAAACCTGCCGACTAAACGAATTTCCATTTGTCTGAATTGATTTTCAATTAAATATATTTTAATATCATTAGGTTTAACGAGTACCTAGGTTTTCTGCTACAAGGAAACTAATAAAGTGTGTTTTTTAGTAAAATATTGATAGCTTAGTACAAAATAAATAAATTTGCCAAGTTTGATCAAATTATATCCATAAACAAGCAAACTACAACATTTGACAATATTCTCCATAAGAATAACATGGGAATTTTAAATTTACAATTTTTTAAATTTTCTCCGTTACTAACCGAACAAAAATACTTTTATATACTAAATTATTTGTTTTTTTAAGCTCTTTAAAAAGGTCTAAAGAGAAATTGGGAAATTTTGTGTTTTGAGGGTCAAAAGTGGGAAAAACCAATTTTTACCCCATAAAACCCCCCGTAAAGCCACGTTCCCATGGTCGGATCATGCTAGTTCCCGAACTCATTCAAGTTTATCCCGCTTTACACCTTTAAACCAAATTTAATCAAAATCAGACAAAAATTACTCAAGTTATTGCGTTCACGGACGTATATATATATATATATATATATATATACATATATAAAAATTTTTCAATAAACATTTTATACTTATACACCAACCCCGTATGAAGGACGGGTACTCGGCTAATAGTTATTATATGCAACACTCCCCCTACTCAAGGCTTCCTTATAGACTTAATAGGAACTTTAAGCCAGTCCAATTTTCTGTCTTAAAACCTTCAACCTTGCCCCAAGAAGAGGTTTTGTAAACAAATCAGCTAGTTGTTCATTTGTGTAAATTTTCTTCACTTGTTCACTGTGTGTTCACTTGTTGTTGTGCTGTCACTTGTTCTCGAATGAAAAAGTGTTTTATTTCAATGTGTTTGGTTCATAATGTGTGTTCCCGATAACAGCACTCATCACAAAATCTTCAAAACAAATGGGCTGCCGTACCATAGCTCTATCTCGGAGTTGGCGAGTTTGCATAATGTTTTCTTCCTGTTGTTCTGCTTCATCGCCTGTAAATTTATCATCTTCCGATTCATCTTCAGGAAAGTGAATGGGGACATTTTCTACTACAGGGGCTGAACAGTTCTCATCTTGCTTCATCGGGGACTTTTTCTTATGAAGATATAGGCCTATTTACTATGCATTCACTAATAGGCTCTTTAAAAAAAACACTTATTTATAGAATAACTAGTGGCCTGTAGAGACATAAGTGAGTGAAAATTTAAAAACGTACGTTTTCATGTCCCTGGCCTTTTACTTCGTAGCTACTGGATTTGTAGTTTATTATTATGTGTTTTAATATTTTTTGGGATGGGGGCAACATGTTACACACATTTATTTGGTTTTAAATAGGTTCTAGGTATTTTTTTCGTATTTTTAAAGTCTCGAAATTCACGACCATGACGTGTCCCTAGGGTACATTTTCCAACTTTCACGCTGTTTTTAGACTAATTATTCATGCCGAAATGTATAAAGCCATATTTTTATGTCATCAATGGTTATTAAACTTACAAAAAAGGAGCATATTATAATTTTATTGTCATTGCAAACTGACTACCATGACATAATAAGTCTGTCCCTCGATTTGGCGTCACGACCATTTGGGAAAAATTTTCAACTTTGGAGCACGACAGTGGCAAGCCTGGCGTTGATGGAGTCAGTTGGTTTTAGAGACTAGTTCGGGGTGTACGTCAGGATTGTAGTGCCGGTCGTTTCGAGTTGAAAGGAGGAATTACAAGATTAATACAGGTAAGGTTGTGTTTTTTGTAATTTTGGTGTGTCCATGACCGTACATAGTCATTCGATGAAGTAGACATGGTGTTAATTTTTGTTTATAAGATATTTCAGTTGCTAGATTAACCTAGAAGTCCACTTTGTATCCTCGAACATGAGGTGCAGAGCTACCGCCAGAACAGAGCCAAATAACACGTAATTTCACGACCAAAGTTTCACGACTATCGCGGGTTTTTTCACGACCTATCCAGCCTTATGGATTATAGTGTGTTTGGTCGTGACAATAACTTTAATATAATTGTAATTTGAACAGTTTAGTTCAATTGAAACACATATTTTTATTATAACTAACAGTATAATTAAAGGATTGTTTAGAAAGATTTAGATTTTTTTAGAAAACTCACAACCGTACCGCTTGTCCCTGACCATCACGTTTATGATTTCTATCATAAAAATTTCAAAAATTAAAATATCGTCATATTTCAATGTTTTATACACAAAAGAAGCACGCCTCTATGCAAACATAAAGATTTTTCGGGTCTCAGGTAAGTTTTTTCGGAGTTATACAAACTTAAAAAGATTTTATTGGCTTTTTTTCAATTTTTTTGAGTTTTTTATTTTTTTCTAGAAAGACCAAATATACTAAAAGCTCAGTGACCTTTTTAATGTATAATGGTCATAAAAGTAAATTAGTTTATAGCAAAACATAGTTATAAAAATAATATTAACTATTTTTAATATTCATTTAAACGTCTGTTATGGTCGTGACAGGATTTTGTGTTTTTCCACTAAAGATGCTCTTTAAAAAAAAAACTACCAAAGATATTGCGTTACCATGGACATTTTATGAAACTTCAAATGTCAATGAAATCAAAAAAATAAAGTTTTGAAAAAAGGGGAAACAAATTTGCAAAGTGTTTTTCCTGAAAACGTACGTTTTTAAATTTTCACTCAAGTCCCTATAAAAAAGCTCAATAATATAAAACGAATTATTGAAATATTTAAACACACTCAGAAATATATTATTTATGTGTCAGAATAGATATCCCTGTACACCATATCTTTTGTGTAAACAACAGTTTTTTGATTGTCTTTGTGTGCTTTTGTTGATGTTATTTTCAATAAATAAATCACTCCATAGGTTTAACTCTGCTTAATGCAGCTAACATATAATTGTTTGTGAATAAATACTGGCTTATGAAAAAAAAAAAAAAAACAGCGAAAACAGTTTTGCTATTTAAATAGTACATTATTTTATATTATTTTACATTATTTTATACTAGCAACAGTGCCCGTTGTGGTTAAATACAACGGCCTCTAGTAAAATAATGGTTATAAAATCCATACACCACTTTACTCACTAATATTAATGGTACAGTTTAAGCACATAACATTAGAATCACACATTTAACATAAGGAACACACTTTAAACACAAATGAAAATTGTTAACAAAGAACAATTAATTAGATAGCAATATAACAATAAGCTGTTGAATTGTTAACACATGTTTTGTATGATTAGATTATGCATACTGGTAAACCAATTATTGCCATCTATGAAAATAATTGGTTTTTCTTTTCTGAGTCGGGTTAGTTCTTCTACCCGACACATTTTCATAATTTTGCCCTTAAACTAAAGGTATGGACGTACCGCGGATTTGCCATCAAGCATCGGCATTGATTTTGACGTATATTTCGAGTTATGCACAAACTGCCTCCCTGTACATTTCTTATGGGAGTTAAATTTGTTTTTTTTTCGAGTTCAATGTTTCGCAGGCGGGCGATGGTTTACAGGAGGGCTCTTCTACCTGCCCGATTTTCATAATTTTGGTCTTAAAATTAAGCTATGCAAGCACATATTTATCATCAAGCATCATCATTAATTTATCTAATGTATTACTCGAGGGAAGAATTTTTCTTCTCTTCAATTAAAGATTTATTCCAGCAGTTTTAATTACATTATACATTTTGGTCTAAAAACCTTAAGTGAAATACCAGATTTCATTTGAGCTATTGATTATTAAGATCGGACTACCTAAAGCACACTGCTGAATCACGAATCAACAATAAATACAATCATTTTATTACCTATCTGCAATCAATGATAGGTAACTCTATTTTTATTAAGTTATTTTATGTCTTTGTCTTAAATTACTTCAAAGGCTTTCACTTGAGATATTGATAGTTTTAATCAGTTAAGTTCAAGATACTGTATCGCTCAATCAGAAAATATAAATTTGATTATATCTTGGATGTGGAATTTAGTTTTAGATACATTTACTTAATTCTAATTACGCTATTCTATTTGTTTTGACCTAAGAACCTTCATTGAAATACCAGCTTCCATTTCATTGAAGCACACAGCTAAATCACGACCAACACAAACTGTTCAACAAATGGAGTTATTTATCATCGATTTATAGCC